GTGTGGATGTTGTTCAGGTATCAAAAGTCCAATTAAAATATCTCTTATTGTATTTTGACTAGGCAAAATACTTATTTGAGAGATCTCTGACTACATTCTGACTTGTATAAACGATGTCTGATTTACTATTAAGTTGTACGGAGGCTCCAATTTAAGATATTTGCAATAAATTACTGACTCTGAAAGAACATATTTCAGACATTACCAATTAAATTATGACTGGTCATAAAGTAAATCTGAGATACCTCTTTTTATTATTCGGACTAGTCATAATTCCAATTAAAAAATCTTAAATGACATCAGGTTTGTAGGTGCAGTAAATAATAGCATTTTTTGCAGTTTTTCTGACATTTTTTATATTCATATCAATATCAAAATTATATTGTATTGACTATTGTAGTGAGTGATATTGTAATATAAATTTCAGCCATATTATCCAGCTCTAATCCAATGGCATTTTTGCATTATAAGTCATGGCCCAGTCAGCATGGTCTTATTCTACCCTGATCCTGGTTATGTTTGCTTTGAGCAGAGCCGCCTCGATGTGGGTGGGGATTAAAATATTAAAAACATCTAAAAGCAAATCTTTTTTTGTTTTGTTTTGTTTATTTGTGAGACAATAATGGACTACATCTAACTTGAAGAAAAAGTACTGAAGGCTGTACTGAACCATTCATCAGTAGCTGTGTCTCAATTCAGGGTCTGCAGCCAACCTTGACCACAGCCCACGTCAGGCTGCATGAAAAGGCTGTGAAATGAGAGTCTATCCTTCAGATGACGTATGCTGCATGACCATGAGCTACCCTGTTACTATAAAGATCAGTTTTATATCACGTGCCTTCAGAATTCCAATGCGTTGGAACAAGCATTTACATGTCTTTTCACTGGAGGAATAACTTTACAGTTAAAAATTGTTACAAATAAATAAAAAATAATAATTTGTGTTTCGCTCCAGTATCAGTACTTGTAGTTGTGTTTTATTTAACATCACATTGCAGCATGCATTTAATTATCTAAGTTGCTAAACTTGAATTTAAAAACAAATGTTTGGTCCATGATGGACGTCCAAACTATTCCGACTTGGTTTAAAAAAATAAGAAAGAAAAACTCCATCATCAAAGTTTTTCTGTTAAGTTTGCTGATGGTCCGATGAATCCTGGGATATCCTCAACCGGAAACATGGTCAGACGCAGCCTTCATTTTTTTGGATTTTGTGGGCCGCTTTCGTCTGCCACATGAGAAGGAGCCCATGATTTGGGCCAGACTTCGGCACAGGGCAGTAACCTATGCGGCTGGCAAATGCCCACTCAGGAGGATGCAGACACAGCCAGTATGACACTGAAAACAAGACGGTGAGCTAATAGTAGCTTGCTACTATTGTTGTTGAGTTAAACTTATCCGACAAAATATTAAGTGTTGTTGCAAACAATTCAAGTAAAATTAATCTCATCTGTCTGACATAAACTCTCTTGCCAGTGAACCAGTAAATGGGCAACAATAACTGACATCAAATCTCCCAAGTTATAGATATATAATTGAGCTTTGGGTATTCGCACTTTCTCCTGC